AAAATTTTTTTTTTCGCGTATTAGCCCGGTTTAAATTTTTGTAGCCCGGTCTTGGATCCAATCCTAGATCCGCCCCTGCATAGAGTTTAACATTTGAGCTGTTATCAGCTTTTGTTTACTGATGATCTATCAATCTGTGTCCAGTGGTTCCCGAGCGGATGCCAGTGAAGCTGCTATTATATTGTTGCCATCAAATGTCACAGTTTTTACTTTTGATTTCTCTGGTTCTGGGCTCTCTGGAGGAGAGTATGTCACTCTCGGCTGGAAGGAAGTAAGTGGCTGAGTAACTCGACTATCTCTTTTCTCTACATGTATACACGTATATAACAACAAATACACACTGGAATGGTGAACATATTTCGAGATGGGGTACATAAGATCCCATTGATAGAGATGCTTAGGAATTGTGTAGTTAAATTTCTCAAGTGTAATATATTCCTTTAGAAAAGTGCCAAGGGGTTCTCACTTCTCATCTCGTAGTCCTTTAGGAGTAGAAATAACATGCAGTAACCCCAGAGAAGCAGAACGTATGATAACTGAAGTGTGCAAATATATACCTCAACTGGCAAATTCTGGACTGATTTTGCAGAAGGACGACCTCAGGGCAGTGCTTGATTTTCTACGAGCAGATGAGAACATTTCTTTAATTGGTTTGTGGGGACGTTCAATGGGTGCTGTTTCTTGGTTAGTAGGTTTCTTTCATCTCCTTGATGTGGAAAATGTCAAATATTTTTTGATTTGATTATGAGATGAAGTCACAGAATTTGCATACTAGGTCAAATCAGATTTGTAAATTTATCGTAAGGAAAGAAAATTTGTGTTTCTAATGCAGTAATGAGTATCATTCAGATTTACGTTATGCCTCTTTCAGCCTGATGTATGGAGCCGAGGATCCTTCCATTGCAGGAATGGTCCTGGACAGCCCCTTCTCGGATTTGATTGATTTGATGATGGAATTGGTGGACAGTTATAAATTTCGGCTACTTAAGTTTGCCGTAAGCTAATCAATTTGTAACATTGGAATTATGATCTTTTCATTTACGATCCTTTATTCTTTCTTCATTTTGGGGATAGAAACTGTCTATTTAATTTATTTATTTTCTTATTTTTAGGTTAAGCTAGCAATCCACTACTTGCGAAGAGCGGTCATGAAAAAGGCAAATTTTGACATTAAGAACTTGAACACTATCAAGGTATCTCCACCTGTTTGAACAGCTCGAAGTGACAAATCATTATCAGTGCATAGTATCCAAATTTACTGTTTAGTTTCTATATAACGCTACTTCCATCACTTCTTTTTGTAGGTTGCAAAATCTTGCTTTGTTCCAGTTCTCATTGGCCATGCCGTTGATGACAATTTCATACAACCCCATCATTCCGATCGCATATTTGATGCTTATATGGTAATTCATTTTCAAATTGCATAATACTGTAATTCACGTATATATATTTTCAAACGGTGCTTCTCTGCCTTCTATATCCTCGTTCCTCAAATTGTTAGAACGTTTTCATACATGGAATCTGCTACTTATTGTTATTAGTTCTAGGTGTCACTTTTATGTCCTCCATGTCGATAATTTTTTGCCATCATAAATGAAAATTGACTTTGAAAAAAGAGTTAACAGAAACAGATAGTATTTCTGCACCATTTGTCTTATTTAGCTCTAATTATTTTTCATTATGATGAGGCAGAAAATTAACCTCTGCATCTTGATTTATGTACACTTTTGGTATTTACGTATCTATCGTATTTTCTCTATCAATTTGTTGGTCTTCTCAAGTGATGCATGAAATTATCTGTAAATGTAATATAGACTACATCTGTATGTGGAATATGTATTTGCTATGTTCATCAGTCTTTCTCTTTCCTTTACATTTTAGTCATTTCCTGCCCTTATACTTTGTTAACTGACCTGCAGGGGGAAAAGAATATAATCAAATTTGAGGGTGATCATAACTCGCCGCGCCCTCAATTTTATTTTGATTCAATAAGTATCTTTTTTAACAACGTATTTCAAACTTCAGAAGATGAACTAAGGAGTACACTTTTCGACTTGTCTACCAAGTATTTTGGCGAGGTAAATTGAGACTATGGCATTATGGTTTTTACTCTGGGACCTGAGTTAATAGCGAGATCTCTGAGTTTATACGAATTTATCATTGGTTTACCACCTCCAGGATAAATTGAGTACTGCTCATGATGTTGAACACGCGAATGATTTATTGGTTTTGCCTGTAGGTACGTATTTAAGGTGCTTTAGGCATGTAGTTCTGGAAAGGAATGAATTGGTGCAATAGACAAGACTTTGGTTGTTTCTCCTTAATAGTATCCGATAAAATTTACCAAACATGCCATTAGTTCTTTATTTTGCTAACCTTTACCAGACAAGATGTTCCTTTTTTACAATTTAGAGGAAGTTGACTTGCAAATTTGTTCAGGTCGAGCAGCTGATAGTACAGAAGATGCCATGAAGCATCTTGGCTCCAGCATAGTGGTAAGATATAAGTTCTCTAACGTGAAGATCAAAGTTCTCCTAGGTCATATTATCTAAGCCATGTTGATTCTAGAAAAATAAATGGTTCAGCATTGTATTCTCGGACATGGTCTCGCCTTGTGGTACCGAAAAGTTTATGGCTGGTGCAGTAGTCAACAATACTTTATACGAGTGCTAATCTTTATTTAGAACTCCTCTCATTCGTCCGTTGATAACCACTGTTGTTATCTATGCATAATATCAATCGAGTTTATGTTGGATTTTGATTTTGTTGTTTAATTTGCATTATTCAGGTTCTGGCGGATCTATTATCCGAAGATAAAAAACTAGATGCACAGGTACCTCCTAAAGTGTTGAGCAGAAATTTTCTAATGAACTCATTTTCATATCCATTTACTTTAAAACCATAGCTTCGACGGAAAAGAACTTGGGGGAAAATTGTGAGTTTACGAGTTTCACAGAGATAATTTTGTGCCCTGCAGGAACAAGATTCTGGATCTGGTTCTCGTACGTTGTCTTCTAATATGATCAGCTTTGAACTCTCAAGTGGCAGTGTCAACAGTTATCATACACCCGCATTCATAGATGATGGCAAATCCGTGGAGCACCGTCTTGGAAACGCCACATATTTCGCAACCAGTGTAGGGAAGGAAGAAAGGGTGAGAATATCTATTCTTATGTCTTCAAGATTCACACGTTCTTGATCTTGAAACAAATCGTTATTCTACACTTCCAGATGTTCATGGAAGCTGTGTTTGATTCGCTGAAGAGTTTGGAATCGGACAATCATCCTCTGACACAGGGTAACTCGTTTGAAACACTGTCCACAACCAGTACTTCGGCAGCCAACGATCATAATTTACCGATAGAATTTCCACCTAAATCTACTTCATCTTTTGGAGCGGAGATTGTTGAAACTTCTCCTACGAACAACACTTCAACATGTAAACAGAGTTCATGTAGTGCCAGTATTGTAAACTATACAGAGTCCCCTGTCACTTCAGTAAAGAATGTGGCTTCTTTTCGTAGTGATGCTTTATCTGATATCGACATGGCTGATCATACGAGGGTCACCATAGAAGTTGTGAAGAACCCGACAAGGCATATTATGGATGGTTTGCAGCGTCGTTGGGATCTCAACTTCTTTAGGAGTAGACGATCATAGTTACTATTTTTAGGGATGTACACATATTTACTTGTATATAGTGATGTGAATTGTATGGATAATTTTTTTGTGTAGTTCCTCATTGATCAATCCTGTTGTTAACTTTGAACAAAATGCTGGGAAGGAGAGGTAAAATCACAGTTAAAATAGAACTCGACTTTATCCATAAAGAATTAAGTATAAATATGAACTAGCTTCTTACCATAGTAAGGTTTCTTCCATCCTTCATCAACCCCCCCCCCCCCCCCCTCCATCCTTCATCTTACCATAGGATCACAACCTGTTCCTTGGTCCCATCAAAAACGTAAGTACATTTTTGTAATGGAGGATTTAGTAGGTTGAAGGATCCCTCAGTTTCTTTATCTTCCACCATGTCCGGGACTTACGCATTAAAGGGTTCCCACATTTTTGAAATCTCAGGGTATTCATTGATAAAATGTATTGGAATTGGGAAATTCATTGCTTCAGAGAGTTTCGTGGTTGGTGGACATTCTTGAGCAATTTATTTTTATCCCGATGGCAAGAAAAAGACGGCTGGGAGGATTTGTATCTGGTGTTATATCGGTTGGGTTAGAGAGGGCGAAGAGGTGAGGGGCATTGTTCAAGATGGAGTTGCTCGACCAGAGTGGAAAGGAGAGGCATTTAGTGCAAAACCATACCAAGCCATACATGATTAGGCAAGGTAAAACGTGGTAATGGGTGTTTCTATATAGTTTTTTCTCGATAAATTTGGATTCTACTATGTGAATCCTTTTCGGTTTCTATGTTTGATTCATTGCATAGTGGTTGTATGTTCGTGTCTTTGTGGTCCATCCATGACTTACAATGTGCATGTGCTTCGGTCATTGTTTATATGCATATGTACTCGCATTGCATATTTGTTCAGTAATTTTGTACCGAACTAATGTTATTTATTATTAGTTGTGATTATCATCAGCCTAGGTGGCAGTGGAGTCTCTGATTGATTGTTTTTTAATGACATTATTATTCATTTTAATGCATTTGACTATGAAATGGGAGTGCATTGTCATCTAGACTGATATTGATCACACTTAATAATGAATAACATTATTTTTTGCGCCGGGACTATGTATACGTCCGTGCATGCGATTCTTTCTCACTATTTATTTTGCTGAGCATATTTGCAGGGGCTACAAACTCTATATCAACAAAGAGACGCTAGAAAAATCAGATTATCTCAAAGATGATCGTCTCTTCATCCAATGCACTGTGGGTGTTATTACAACATCCGTAGAAAGGAATATACCGCACTCCCAATCGTCACCCGCATCTGAGATTGGACAAAATTTGGGCAACTCTTAGAAAGTTCGGAGGAAAGCGATGTACAATTTGAAGTCGAGGGGGAAATATTTGCTGCTCACAAGTTGGTCCTTGCAGCACGCTCCCCTGTTTTTAAGGCACAACTCTTTGGTGCATTGAAGGAGCAGAACACAAAGTGCATTAGAGTTGAAGACATCAAGGCTCCAGTTTTCAAGGTTCAAAATTCTCTACCCTCCTTTTGTTTTAGCCTCCAAATGTAAAGCACTTGCTCGTGCAACCTGTTTTATCGTGGAAAAAATTACGAAATTATATGGTTTTCAGATTCTGTTTTGCTAATTAAAAGTACGAGTCGTTTGGTTGCTTGTTTGTAGGCGTTACTTCACTATCTATACTGGGATGTCTATCCCGATGTGGAAGAGTTTCTCGGTCTCAATTCAAAATGGGCAAAAACTGTTATGGCACAGCATCTGCCATCTGCTGCAGACCGATATGCACTTGAAAGACTCAAGTTACTTTGTGAGACGAAAATAACGAACATATTGACATCAACACTGTAGCCTCAAGTCTCGCTTTGGCAAAGCAGCACAATTATTCCCAACTGAGGTCGATGTGTATTGAGTTCATTGCACGGCCTGAAAATTTAAAAGGCAAACTATCATTGCATGTTTGCTCCGCTTCTTTTTATTGCAATCCATTTTACAATCAGTGCCACCCCACACTTAGACACGGACCGCCAATGTGGCACCCAGGGGTTTTGGCACCTCAACGAAAGGACCCTGGGNTTCAAAATCTGGGTGGGGCACTTACCCCACTAGGCCCCACTGTAGATCCGCCAGTGCTTTTGACTACGATACTACAACAATATCTGCATATGATACCATCATCATTGCAATTTCGGTAATCAATGCCACCCCAAAATTGACAAGGACTGCCCATGTGGCACCCAGAGGCTTTGGCTCCTCAGCACAGGGCCCTCGGGCCAGCCTCCCCTCACATGGCTAGCAAGCTTGACATTCGCCGACACACAACACTTTGACTAGGATATTGCAATAATACCTGCATAACCGTAACTTGATCATTTATGCATAACAATCTGCAAATATGAATGCTTAGTCTTGGGAGCAACTTAGGACATGTAGTTTCAGGTTTCGGTCTAGATCTTGGAGTTCTATGCATGTGTATTTCGTATTTCTATATTTGAAAGACGGATCTGGGTGTCATGCTGGGTTAATGGTTATTTCCGGCATACGTACTGACATTTCCAAAACATGAACCCATATCCGCCACCCAATTGGGATCATTGCTACCTATAGTGGATGACTTAGACCAACTGGATTATTAACAACTATGAATGAAAATTTTTCATTTCCTTTGATTGAAAACTGATTATTGCACGAATCTTGTTTGGATTCCAGCGGTGAAAAGTTGTCCCTCAATTATCACTGATTTGCTGGAATGTATAGCTAGAGGGGCCAAATATTCAGCCATTTCTATGGAAATGGTAATGAAAATACCCTTAGATTGCAGTGATTCAAATAGGAGGGTAAGGCAAAGAATATAGCAATTTCTTGATAGTGAATTGGATCAAATTCTCATAGCGATGACTGAATAAGATTTAAACCACTATTAATCTTTTTGTATGATAATC